TATCGATATAGTACTCATTTGAAATATCGCTTTAAAAATATCGGGTACCCATTAATATCGGAATAAAGGGACTCAAAAATTAAATCTGAATATTCGTCTCATTTTCTAATAATGGCCACTATGCATCTCTCAAGAAAATGATCAAGAAAAAAATGCCATTATTTCGTGTGTGTGTGTGTCCAAGGAATTTGTATTTTACATCTGATATTTTACAGCCTGTTGCCTCACTCTTTCCTCAAGAAATAATGGAACGGCCATATATTTCTGTTACAAACATGGGCTGCCTTGTGCTCTTTTTAGAAAGCGTTGCTAATTTTTTAAGAACTGCGTGCTGCATTAAGGAAATTTTTCACAATAAAATTTCTTAGCAATTTCTTGTGCGTCATTTTATATGGATTTTTTGCATTTCTTGAGAGCTGAATACTAAGCTTAAAGAATGAAAACTTTTGCACTTTAATAGGTAAGTGTGTGCTTATGTAGAGTTAAGTGTGTTAATTGACATTACCGATAGCGCTGGTTGAAATCCCGCCACATGCCAACTAAAGATAGACTACGTTTGTGCTTTTTTAAGCCAAAAAAATATATCCATATTGCTTTACATATACATAAGTTCAAAAGTACAGACATATGGGCGCTTCCAGGGGAAGGACATGGTACGACATAGATTTTCAAGAAATGGAAATGAAGTCTAATTAAAAACATATTCGACATAAAATGCATATTATATTTGCGTAAAAAATTAGTTTAGTAACAATATTAACAAAACCAGTTTCAATGGATATGTTAGTAAAGTAACGTCACGTCAAAAACTGCGGGGAAAATTAACCTTATATATTTAAAATATTACTACAAAAAATTTTATACAAATAGGCTTGCCCACTTTCCGGAGTTTTTAAATTCTGACGTTTTCAATTTATTTTTTCATCATTTCAACACGCCCCGCCAGATTTGAAATGCCAGTCTGTACTTTACCTTAAGCCATCAAAAAGAATTTGATAAAAGACAATTATTTTTAATATAATGTACATTACTTTGTTTTAACTACATTAACTTTGAAATGTACATTTACGATTCGATACGATACAATGGTTCTCGTACTCGATTCCAAAAAATATCGTTTGCAAACTATCGAGTAAAATGTATCGGTATCGAATGGAAAAAATATCGATATGGTATCGTATCGTATCGAAATTCGTGTGCTTACTTTTACTATTTCCTGTTAATATTTAATAAGAAAGATTTGACACCAAAGAAAAATGCTTAAGGAAGGCTTTAGTCATTGGCGTGGGAAAAGAGCCGTAAGAGAAAGTGTTCTGAGTTTTTGTGAATTTTTTCACAAAGTTGACGCATTTTGTGGCTTAACTAAAAATTACACCAATTGTGAAGGATAGCTTCAGCTAATGCCAACAGATGCTTCGCAAATAAATTTAAACTTTAAGCTAAGATTCTGGATAGAAAGCTGAAGTGAGATGACTACACGCTCGTGTTTTGGAAGCTAGTCCAATTAGGACCCCCTTCAGAAATTTTCAATCTGCCCTCCTACCGCCACCTGAGGAGAACTCTTGTGTGTGCCAAACCTCGATATATGAACTAGTGGAGGTCTCCTCCACTGCTTGAAACGGCGCTCTCTGTTGGACACCGGAGCTCTTTGACCTGAGGTTGTCAATCAGATGACTGTTTATTACAGCCCACAGGACTAAGTTACTCTCTGACGTGGATGTCTACAAAATAGAGCTGGGAATTTTCAAGTCCAAAGTATAGAATGCTAAGAGGGTTTCCTGGCGTGCCTTTTGCGGAGGCATGGGAGGATGCTATGAATCCTCAAGATCGATACGCGTGCTAGCGGTGAGTGCGTTAACGACCTACTAGAGGAGTTGGCGAGAGCGGCAAATTTTTCTAAGCCTTAACACAAGGATACTTGAGCTTACGGGCTTGCTATAAATGCTATTAAAATGGATCTCTTTTTATTCACTAGGAAGTATAAAGTGCTCCACGCCACTCCTTCTCGTTCGGGGACATTCGATTTGCGGTTTTTACTTGGGCTTGAGTCTTGATAGAAATCTGTCATGAAAGCCAAATATCCATAAGTAAGAGAATGCTCTTTTCTTCCAAGGTTGTTTCTGGCTATTTGAAATCTTAGATAAGCCCAATATTTTTTATGGAGTCCTCATCTGTTGGGGACATTGACCTTTAGCGACGTGCTTAAGATAGCGTCTGTTGATATCACAGTTAAATCAGATGCAGCAAGGGCGAAAGTCAGACTTTTAAGCACTGGCTGACACTTTAGTATTCTCGATGTCTTCGGGTTCATCCCTTATAATACAGACTACTGCGTGACTAACTTGGCACCGGCTAGCTTTTTCTCCACGCACATCACATCTCGAGACTAGTGCACAATGATAGTGGTTGGAAGGAGGCAGGACGCGTCCAAGCTTGACGAAAGGGTCGGCTCTTCATCAACCTTAAATTAAGGCTTACATGCCATTTTAATATTTTCCAGGCGAAGGTGTTTGCTATTAAAGAAACAGTCGATTAGCAGCTGTTGCGCACGATAGCGGTAATGGAGGTTAACATCTACTCAGACAGCTACACAGCAATCAGAGCCTTGGGCTCACTGACAGTATGCTCGAAGCTTGTTGGCCTTAATTCACTTTGGGTCGCATCAGAATATTAGTTTGTCAGACTTGCATGTATGTCATGCCATAGTCATATCTAGGCTGATGAACTGGCCAAAGACGGCAGCCTCTAGGTAGTATTGCCAAGATAATAATTATTGTAGATGTTTCTTGGGTATACGGGCCTCAGGTCAACTCATCGAACGCTTGGGCAAAAACAGGCTTGCGCTACTGCTGGCCATTCTGGCCGAGGGTGGACCGGGAATGGTCTACGAGTCTCCATAGGCTAACCAAGCCGGATCTTTCGATTCTAGTGGGTGTACTGGCAGGCCACTGTCTTTTCGGGGTTGACGCGAGGCGATTAAATATCACACCAGATCCCTTCTGCCGCAGCTGCATGGAGGAGGACGTGCTGAAATCATATCAGCGCCTTCTTATATTCTTAGGTTCGTACTCTCTGACTTGTCCGGAGCCCTCTGGGAGTAGCATCTTCGGCCTGCGAAACTTCGTTCTCGGCAAGCAACGATTATCGCTTTAACTTGGCAGTAACTGTTCGCAGTGGTATTACAAAGGACCAAACCTTATAGTCTAAGCAAGCCCCTTGACAATCTAACTATTTCTATTAGTCACAGCCTTCACATTCAGATTTCCATTAACCTATTTGCCTGATGAGCAAAAAAAGATTAAATAAAGAAAACACTTTCACTTAAAGGACGTTTTGTGCACCTAGTCGTATAAGCAACTCATCGGAAGCAAACGTATCTAAATACATAAAAGTATAAACCAACTTATTTACTTAAATATGTACCATCTGCTTCCGTTCTACTTGAAAGGTTTATGGTCGAAAACTGTTGCAATTAAAATTGCACTTGAAATGCGCTGGTGTTGGCAAATACTATTTCGAGTGTTGGCCACTCGTTAATGTTTTATTGCTCAGCATTGCATATTAAAGCTCACAATGCATGAGCAAATATGTTCGTATACTAGGCTACAGTTCTGAATCATTGTATTATTGAAACGTTGGAGAGTTCATAAATATTCATAGTGGCACTTACCCAGTTTTTGCAAATTCAATAACCGCATTCAGCATCCGCTTGCCCAACTCCCGTTCGACTGGTCGATACTGTAGCGACGTATTCAATGGCTGACCAAAGAAGTACTCGATTTCATCGCCGTGCAGTACACCCATCCATTCACCCCACACAGAGGTACTGGTGCGCTGAAAGGATATTAATCAAAAAAAGTTAAAAAGTTATTTATGTAACGTTTTCGTAATGCATACAGTAACATATCGAAAATAGTTTTCTTTTTATGTTTTAAATTCATTAATTTTATGGATTGAAAAAGTGATTGCCAAATGTGATGACACAATCAAATGTAAGGGGCATATTAGACATTAAAAGGACTCGGCATGCTCTTCCACAAAAAAAAAATAAATTGGCGCTTGTACATATATAGGTATATTTGCTAAGTGTTTGGCCGAGCTTCTGCTCCTATTTGTGGTGTATTTCTAATGTTGTAACACAAATTGAGGGACCGACAGTTATACACCGTCTCCGAATGGCGAAGCGCTTTATTAGAAGTTTTCTCATGACAGAAATACCATTGGAGAATTGCCAAGCAGCGACCGCAGTTAGAAAATAAATTTATATTTTTATGCATTGGACCAAAGACGAACCTAGATCCTACCGACCTCTTACCCCTCAAACGCAGCGGTTGCCAAGCATCGGCAACAAAAAAACTTGAACTTGAAGAAGTTCTTCTATTCAAATTGCCTTTCGCCCTTAAAGACTATCAGCAAAAATCAACTGATAGATTTGTAGTATCTACTCTCAAAGCGATGTTTGAGCTATTGGAATGAGTTATGTATGTAAATAATATTTCCCTCCAATATGGCAGGACTTAAGTATGTTGACGTTAGATAAAAATAATCTTATAAAACTATAATGAGGTACAAGATAAAGCTATCTAAAAAATAGCTTTCCAAAGCTTTTCGTTTATGAGAAAAAATGTCGCAAAACTACCCGAAGGTCGCTTTATTGGTAAACAGCTGAAAAGCAGAATGACTTAAGAGACCATTTTAAATCCTTACACAAAGATTAGAAGAGGCAACAATTGATAAAAAATCTGCTTCAAAAATGTTATGTAACAAAATTGATGAGTACCCATGGGGCGATGCCCTCAAAGAAGTTTGAAAACGCAGACGTCGACTAAAAATGTTAAATATTAATTTGGCTACCAAAGCAAAATAAACTAAAGTTTGAACCAACCAAGAGAACTACGCATCATCGATTCCTAAGATATGTTGCCAGAGCAAATTGATGGTAAATACTGTTTTTCTGACCCCCTGACATTTTAACTTGTTAAATGTTGTTGAAAACGGAAAGAGACGTGGATGCAATGCGGATTTTTGTCCGTTAACCGATCCCATTTTCAGATACTTTGACGATCCGTTATCCCACTAAAGAGTATGACATAAACGTACGTCTAGAAAAGTACCGAGAACTGTTGGGAAAGGGTTACGTTTTCGGCTTTTATTCTGAAAGTTTGTTCATAAAATTTTCCTTTGAATTTGCTTTCCTTCTGCACTTTACAAATACTTTTTCATAGTTCGGAAAAAGGAAAAAAAATATATTTTACCTAATTCGGACACGAAAAATGAAAGAAAATTTAAGACATTTTCTCTACATTTCCGAACACGAAAAATTTACAATAAACCTACCCGGGCGACTCCTATCACCAGAGCTGCCGTTTAATATTTTTAAGAGCAGACAAAAACGTAATTTTTGGGGAGTATTTTGACATTTTAGGGAGTAGACCCCAAATGTTGTAAATATCATTTACATTTAACTTAAGGCCACTTATAGGTTTAAAAGAAGTAGAGTGAGATAGAAATTAGCAGCCTTCGGTATTCCAAGTCGTATTATTCGCAGTATCCAAGGACAGGGACAGCATGGTGGAAAATGGGTGGAGGGGCTTGGAACTAAATGCGCGCAAGTCATTGGACAGAATTTAAGGTTCTTAGCTCTAAACTAGGCAATGCAGCTTAATAATTTTGGTAAATATAATAAACTTGTTTTACTTTAAATGCTCCTAAATGACAGGTCTCACGGGATTTTCCGGTGATTAGGTTNCAAAGAAGTGTGGAATGTGTTGAAGGAAATTCACAGACCTAAAGGTCCGGCCAGAAAAGTCTCATTATTTAAAGAATTATTGGGACTACGTATGGCAGAAGGCGAGCAAGTGCAGCTATTTTTAAGTAATTTTTCAACATTGGTTGATAAACTAGCTGAAATAGGAGTAGACCTTCAGGAGGAGCTCTTTGTTATAATGCTTCTCGCCAGCCTCCCGAAATCGTTTGAAAATTTAGTTGTGGCTTTAGAATCACGCGATGAATTGCCTAAATTGAATGCATTGAAAATTAAGCTTCTAGAAGAAGAGCAGCGGCGTAAGGTGAGCGAGTCGCCGATTGCCGAGTGTAGCACAAAAGTTTTCATGGCGCGCGATTCAAGCAATAAAAGTGCGAAGTCATCAGGCAGCGGCAAATTTACGAAGGGTAAATCGAATTATAAATGTTATTGTTGCGGAAAAATTGGCCATTTTGCTTCACAATGTAAGAACAAAAAGAAACACACAAAAAGTGACGAAGTGAAGGCATCAGCATTCCCATTATTTTCGGCGTTTGAAACGAACATTTTGCAACAAATGTTTGGTGCATTGACAGCGGAGCGTCGTCGCATATGTGTTGTGA